TCAAACTCGACATAGCTTTATTCCTTATTGGTGTAACCAATAGACGTGTTCTCTCAAACGGATGTGACATTGTTCGACGGAACCTTTTTCCAATAGTTCCAAGCACCTTTTTCAACTGGGCTTATTAGCCCTATGTCGAGAAGTATACACTGAAACTCTTCCTTTAATGCTGAATTATCATATATCATTTCTGTGTCATTTATGCATTGGGAATTTGGGACTCCTTCTCAAAAGTTACTTAATGTGCTAGAGATTTGTTGACGTGACTAGCATATCACTTTGAACTGATGGAAAACTAAAGTAGTACAGGCCACACAAGATTACTAAATTTATATTCTATTGTTATGTTTGATGTTGTTAGCATGTGTTATGTATCTCGAATGTGGTATTTATTCGTGACATGTGTTTAGTAATTCATTATTTTGTAGGAAATTTGGTATTAATTGGGAGGGAAAAGGAGGGATAAAGGGAGAATCTACGAAAATAACTTACAAACTTTTATGACTATGATTTTATTAATCATTACGTATTGAAAAATACAACCTATTCTATCCGAAACGAGTAACTTCACTCTACGATATATCGCCTATTGGGAAATGAACCCATATCCCCCGGAAGGAAACGATCCCCCAAATATCCTTCTTTCCGACAACCCCTGGAACATCTTCTGAAGATATGTCGGGATGTCTCAGAACAGGATATCCTGGTGACATCCTAGGGCAAAATATGTCCCCAGGACATCGCGCAAGAAGTCTCCAGGAAGTCCCCGTCAAAGTATATCCTGGTGACATCGCGAGAGATATCTCTATAACATAGTCAGGAAAGTCATCCTCGTGAGGTCGCGCAAAAAATTGCCGTGATATCTCGAAATCAGGATGTCTTGGTGATAACCTTCATGAGGTGACCGAGATACGAGATGTGAGTGAATACATCCTTCACTCATATTCGTCAGTTCGATTCGAGATTTCATCAAATTTCATTAATGGAAATTCACTCACATCTCGTATAATCGAGATGTATACTTCGCCACTTCGTGGCTCGTGTAATCACCATTATCATTTACAGTCGGAGATTATCTGTTAAATTATTACATTTAACCTTATCCAAACTAAAACAGTTCAGAGCATAGGTTACACAAGACTACAAAATCTCAAATTGTGCATCATTTAAAGCATTTTACTGCCTTATATAGTTCAACAACAAGCTACATACATTGCTCTGAAGAAAGAATACAAAATTCTTGTATTCGGTGTTTTGAAGTGTTAGCGGACACATCACATAGTGTCACGACATTGATCCACGATGACTTTGGCACGGCATCACAGAAACAATAGTTCGTGTAAACCGAAATTGAAAAGCAAAAAGGAAAAAAAGTGTCATTATTGTAAAGCGTTAGGCCATTATGCCATGAATGTAGAAAACCGATTGCTGACCAGAATTCCTCTTCCCAAATCCGAGCTTATACTTGAAGAAGACCAAAAACGGTATCATCATGATTGTTCTTTAAGTTAATGACCTAATCCTTGTTTGCGGATCAAATCGACTCGGATCAATTGACCCAAAATCGTTGAATGTTTCTGTGTAATTGTTTTGGGACAACTGAATGGCGATTTATAATTTAAATTTGAAGGCATTTGACGAAACCGCTTTAAGAATATGTAGAGCTGTATCACTCTGAATATATTGTTATTTATCAGTTTGCCACGCCAATCGCCAAAAATCCTTAATAAGGTCTGAACTTGCTTGCGCTATTCCTGACATGAATTCTGCTGATATTGTGAGGGTATTTCAGTTGCCATATAGCTTGGTGAAACTTTTTACCGCGGCTGTGCGCCAACTATCAAATTCTAAAGTCGAGGCTACATTTTCATATTCAGCGATATTCAGTTTTAAATTTCCTTCAAAGCAGTTCTAAGCATATTCTCAGCCGAGTACGATTGATTCAAGTCTTGTCAGACTTCAAGTGAATTTTGACATCAGAAGAGCCGTGTGTCCTCTTACAAAGTCATGATTTGGATGTCATTGAAGTCCTCTCAGAAAATGAAGGTCCATCACGGGCACAAAAGTCTTATTGTCCTAAAGAAAACATGTAGAACATTTTTCGATGCGAAAGATGTGGGGTTAATATCAATACGTGATATCAGGAAAATTGGCATTACCTGTTTCGGATTCTGAAATGATTGGGTGCATGTCTCAATACACTTTTTTAAAATAAATTTAGACAGTAATGAGTAGATAGAATAATATTGATCGCTGAAATGATCCCTTTCTACCTCACTCTTCATGCTATCGTCTCATCACTGTCGTGAAGAATCAATGAGAGCAGTAGAGAAAGATCTCGACTCTAGAATCTATTGAGGTGTTTGACAGTTTTTAGGTAAAATATATCATTTTCAGGAGGATTGTAGGAGTAATTAATGTATTTGGTAGACATACTTGAAAACTGTAGTTTGGTAATATATCTTGGTACACATAAATTTGATGGAAGATGGTATAAGTATGCCAAAAGAAAATGTCTTCGGTACGAATTTATGATTTTGAATCGAAGGCAACTTTCTTTCACCATGGTGATTGAGGGTTATTTTATTGTTGAATGTTCTTGATGATTCTTATTTGTTTATATTTATTGACGAATTTTGTATTTTTTATTGAAGTAAACCTGACTTACTAAACTGCATACAAAATAATGAGATACAAAACATATGTTACAAATATCAAATACAAAAAATAACCGCTTAAGCATTACATCACTTATGCCTCACGACCTCTCCGAGACGTATCAGGTAATATCCGTATAACGTTCGGTGTGATTGTTAGGTAATTAGGAGTTTCTTCTAAGTCGCCGTTGAGGAATGCCATTTTAACATTCACTTGACTGAAAGTCCTGGGAGACAGCACGGATCTCCCTGGGATAACTCTGCAAAATGCATTTTATTAAAAAAAAATTGTTATTCGAATCTTCCCTTTACTGAATATTTGCAGACACGAACTCATCAACTTAAACGAACTAAGTGCAATTAAAATGACATTCAGATGAGAAACTGAATTTTTCACTAGACTGGGACTATCATTCATCAACATTCGTTATGAATAAATGAACAAATTATAAACCCTAACAAGTTGAAAATCTTGGGATCAAGCCGCTTCGATGTCCGTCTTTATACGGGATGTGAGTGAATTATATATACAAAAGACGCGCAGGAAGGAATAAATGTGCTATGAGCAGTTTTTTTTATGAACGAGACATCGATGTATAATTTTTGATATCGTTAGTGCAGCCGGGAGGATGGAGGCAGGGAGTTGCTTCTGATGAAAGGAGCAAAAACCTCAGTAAAGAGTTATTACAGAGATCGGCATTATGCCAAGCGACACCTGAGACTTCTACATAAGTATTGAATGTGTATTACGGAATTGCATTTAAATTTTTCTGGAAGTCATGTAATGCAGCCGTGAGTCTAGGAAATAAACAGATTGCGGTAGTTTCATGCAAAGGCGTCGCCGAGTTGAAGCAGCAACTTCTGACTATACATAGCTGATAGCATATGAGCTGACCTCACACGACTTTGGCTGCTTCCTTGCAATGCGCCCCCAAAATTCCTTCTTTTAAGGTGACCGCGGAGAGCATGAAATTCAAGATAGAAGCGGGAAATAATTCTCGCTCTAAATAACACATTTCACAATCCACTCTCTTGAAAAGCATGTGACACATAGTGAACAGACATTTGTACCAATGCTGCCTGTAGTTTTCATTCATTTTCTTTTTCACTGCATAAGAGAATGGATCAACTTCTTTTTCCGCATTCGAGCATTCGCTTAGAAGGTCTTAATATTCCTTATGAGTCATTCTGAAGTAAATATGGAAAGTCCGAAGTCCTATTTCAAGTTTTGATAAGAAAGACGGTTCGCGGATCGATTTTGTACTGCGGAATGTATATTTCTTTCAAAGGATTTCAGATTGATCGAAGACCCCCGAAGACGATTTGGACAGTTGCAGCTGAAGGAAACACATAAACGTTCATAGAATTATAAACGAGCACTACAAACCTCTGAAATTTAAAGTTACCGGAAAGCTACAGGCAGGATATAAATGTTTCGAGTGGAATGTTGTCGAAGCAATTTGACCAGCTGTTCTCGATACTAGATGTGAATTATTTGTAGCATTAGATTGAACGGCGCAATAGTTCATGTTAATTTTTTTTGTATTATTTTGTATTTTTATTCATTATTGTATCGATTGTGTGATCGGATACTCGTTCGCTTCAATAATTCATACGAGATGTGAGTGAATACATCCTTCACTCATATTCGTCAGTTCGATTCTCCTGCGCGTCTCGTGACCAGTTTATTATATAATTCACTCACATCTCGTATAATCACCATTATACCTACTTAGTTTACGCATCTGCTATTAGTGATGAACCGATAATATATACTTACTGACCATGCTTTTCTTGAATTTCATACTTATCATTTAATTTAGAACGTAATATACAACACCGGCGAAATTGTCTACATCTGAAATGACAACTATACGGAAATAATTGATCCTCCTCAAACATATATCACAGGTTTACCACTTCGCAACATTGACACAGTTACACCTAGCACAGTCGACTCTTGCAAGTTATCGCCCTTGTTTTTTACCATAAAGATTGTTGTTGAGCACTAGACAATTGTCAGAAAAATGGCTGTCAACGCTGAATTTGCTATTTTCTGGAAGATCATTGTTCTGCGATATTTTGGACGTTGCCCGCCCTGGTTACGAGACGTGTGTCAGGAGGTTTAAAGGCGAACGACAGATTAATTAGATGGAATTAGTGAATTCGCCGTTTTGCTGGCGATCGAGTCGAAAATGCTCAAAGTCCTTCATGAAGACAAGAACGAACAAAAAAAGGAATGTCTCACTTACAGCAGAAAGGGTTTATCTTAATGTGAAGAGGCAAATACTATTTCTCATGTAAAAGCATTATATATTGTTAATGACGGCACAAACGATGTTGGGCCTCGTGGTGCAGAGGAAAGCACTTTCGGTTCCGAACCGAAGGGTCGTGGGTTCGAACCCCACCGGGGTCGGATTCCTCCGCGAGCTATTATTTTTTTTCCATGTACGGATGTCGAATAAGTTTGTACAGTATTTGCGCTCAATCGTATAGGGACAGTTCTTTAAACAAATTGCTGAAACCGGCCTCCTTGATAGTGCAATTCATGGATCTTCCATCCTCCATGCCAATCAACGAGTTCAAATGTTTGTGACTGCAAACGGATAAGTGAATTGAGTTCTATATTTGAGCTCACTGTTGACTTCAATGTTGAATCGACCGGGCAGTAAATCTCAAAGCGCGTTTCAACTGTATTATAAAGCCCGTCTCGGAACGGCAAACTTTGAAGTCTGACCGACCACTTGCCAGAACCTAGCTCAAAATTCCAATGCTGGCAGTTTGCCGTTGACAACAACGGAATTCTGACGCTCGCCATTACGTGTTCAAACAACTGTTTGTACTGCATGTACGTTGTAACGATTTGTTTCTATCGGTTCGAACTCGTGACATACACGTGACGCATTTTCCAGTTTGCCTTGTTTTTGAAATTGGTTTCAACTCAAAATATTTTTTCCACGTTAATCACTCGCTCTTATATTCCCTTCAAGTGCAGTCGTTTGAGACGCTTAAATTCGTCATATTCTGTCATTTATTCTGTATCCGAAGCCCTATCATCTCTGACACGAACTGATTTCGAAATGTTTGGAGGTACATTTGGTGGCGGTGGTGGATTTGGTGCAAGCAATCAACCACAGCAGCAACAGACTACCTTCGGTATGTAATATTCGCTAATAAATTTTCTAACAACACAAGATAAGAAGTTCTGGAATAGGATGCAGGCTTTATAATCGTTTATAGACTGTCAGCTTTTCCCGACGTGGAAACAGTCTAATTATGGAGCGTTCCTTCCGGAGAAGAAAGCGCAGGATTTCGGATCTGTGTAGTTAGAATATGGAGCACTTCCTTAGAGAAAGCAGATATCACTATATTAGTTTTGCAGAACGATCGGTCATAAGTGAAGACACCCTTTGACTCAAGTCTGTCCCTTGTTGTCGTTTTTTTTTCGTCAATGATCTTATTTAGGATTCGGCCAACAACAGCCGCAACAGCAACAAACAACATTCGGTTTTGGTCAACCTCAACAGCAGCAGCCAGCAACACCTTTTGGTGCCTCGGCCAGTACATCGGCATTCGGTGCACCCTCCGCTACGACCTCCGCATTCGGCGCACCGTCCGGAAGCGCTACCACTGGATCGATTTTCGGAGCTCCAAGTACTGCACCCAGACCTAGTGGTGGATTTGGATTTGGCGGGACGACAGGTTTGCAGACATATCTGGCTGTTTTTCCATTATTATCGCGAGATTTCGGAGGAATTTCTATATTTATTTGCCATTTGTGGAGGTTTCATTGACTTGCCTTTACCTTGGTTGATTGACTAATTGCCAGGGACCACATCAACAACGCCTTCGTTTGGTGGCGTATTCGGTTCTTCCCCTTCTTCCGGTTTTGGTACGTCCGGACAATCGGCACCTACATTCGGGCAAACACCATCGACATCAGCTACAACTGGAACGTTCGGCGGATTAGGAGCCAGCGGGCTCACGGCGACCAACCAAGGGACAGGCAACCCGATCTTTACGCCTAGAACTGAAACGGAACGAGTTGGTGCATCGACACAAACTTTAACTTATTATAGCATTTCTGCAATGCCGGCTTATGACAAATTCTGTTTCGAAGAATTACGGTGGCAAGACTATCAGATGAATAAAAAAACGCCTAGCGGACCGGCCGCAGGAGGCTTTGGAGCGACCAGTGTAACTGGTTTCGGAGGAGCAACAACCACAGGGTTTGGGGCGACTGGTTCAAGCGGGTCTCTTTTCGGTGGAACGCAGCAGAGCTCAGGTGCGTTCGGCAGCGCAAAACCGGCGGGATTCGGAACATCAGGTATTCTTGATATCTGCATCTCATTTTTTGATTTTTGCCTTACCATTGGTTAGGAATTTTCGGTTCAGCACAGCCGCAGACGCAATCATCAGCTGGATTTGGTTCCACAGGTACCTCGACTTTCGGTGCGACATCGCAAGCAGCAGGGACAACTGCTTTTGGCTCAACAGGAACAAGTCTTTTCGGAGCTAGTTCACAGCAGCAACAACAGAAGCCGGGATTCGGCTTTGGCAGTGGTATATAGTTTTATTGTGATGCACTTCCTCATACCCTGTCATCATTATTCAAATTCTAACGAACATTATATCGTTTCGTACAACTACCCTAAAAAGCGGCCTCAACTTCAACTCAACCTACGAACACTGGTTTTGGATTCGGTGCTACAAGTAATAGCTCTGCACCGGCGGGTGGACCTGCTTTCGGTTTTGGTCAACAACAACAAACGCAGCAGCAACAGGCTCCGCAGTCTGGCTTCGGCGGCTTTGGTAAACCTCTTCGATTCTGAATGCTTTCCGGAAGGGTCAAATCAATTTACAATTTGCGATATAGGGTCGACAAACACTGGTGTTACATCCTCAACGCCTTCCTTCTCTTTTGGAGGGACAGCTCAACCGTCTACAACCACAACTACACCTTTCGGTCAGCAGCAGCAGCAACAGCAGCAGTCTAAACCTTCGTTCGGGTTTGGAGCTGCACAAGCTGCAGCAACTTCTAGCGCACCGAGCTTTTCATTCGGTGGAGCCACTGGCACGGCCGGAACGACTGCGACTTCTTTTGGGACGGGCGGCGCGCAACAGCAGAAGCCGACATTTGGATTCGGAATAGGAACAGCTACAGGCAACACTGGTAGCTTTGGTATGCCATCACATGCTATGCCCAAGCACGCGACTACTGCTTGTTTGTTAATGTAACCACGTCATCTTCTTGCTCATAGCATCCACAACTCCAGCTTTCGGTACACAACAACCTTCGACTGGGACATCCCTGTTCGGTCAAACGCAGCAGACTCAGCAATCTTTATCTTCCGGCACCTCTCTTTTTGGGGGCCTCGGGCAACCCCAACAACCATCCACTCTTGGATCAACGATGACTTTCGGCACCAAGCCAGCAACTTCTTTCGGAACGACCGGCAGTGGTTTTGGTGCCTCTACGACACCTTCGCTTTCTCTGGGATCCTCGACAACCGGACTTAGCGGAGGTTTAGGGTTGGGTAGCAGTTCAGCTCTTGGCGGGTTCGGGACATCCACTGGTTTAGGAGTAGGACCTGGCACCGCCGCATCATTTGGCTCGTCTTTAACGCAACAACCAACTCAGGCGCAACCTACGCTTGTCGCTTCAATTGACAAAACTCCTTATGGGGTCAATCCACTATTCGCTTCGGTCAACTTGTCCACCTCACATTCGAATAAACAGGATGTTATTGGCGCTATACCTGTTTCGACTAGCGCCGCATCAACCACGAAACAAAAGAAGCCGGCCCTGTTACCTGCCAGTTATAAAGTTACACCTCGGGGATCATCGAAGATCAAGCTTCGCGGGTTCGCAGCAAATTCACTTGAGGCTGGCACTCTGGGTAACGGGTCGGCAGGTGTCGGTGGCCTTACACCTTCCGGAGCTAAAAAGTTTCATCTGTTTGATGGTAGCGTCGGTGGAAAAAACGAAGATGTGCTCCTAAGCCCGGAAGCGTTTGTTCCCCGACATTCAGTCAAAAAATTAGTGATTCAGCCGCCTAAGGAGAAAGGAAAGGTTGACGTTAGTATGGAAAAGCAGTTCCCTGCAGTCAATGGAGGTAGCAAGGGAAATCAAAAAGTCATGTTTAAGACTGATTCAATAGACGGAGATAGTTTGTTGGAGACAACTTCCATTCTTGAGACCCCAAGTCGATCAGCTGTCAGAGATTATGCATCGCCAGGAATCTCTACTGTTTCCGGCACACCAATTAACGCTTACAACGAAGATAGTCTTTTGGAACAAAGCGTTATACTATCAGCATCCCCTTCGAGATTTTCCGATAGCAAATCCCAACACCCTTCCCAATCAGCTTCCCAAACTCCATTAAGCTCAGTGTCGAATGGATACGTTCTTTCGCCTTCCCTCGATGTTCTCAGAACGATGTCAAGATCGCAGTTATCCGCAATAACTGACTTCAAGGTGGCTTGCTCTGGGATTGGCCAAGTGCAATTCCTTCAACCGGTTGACCTCACAACTGTTCCATCGCCGTCCATGATTCCCGGGAATATCGTCAAATTTCAGCCAAAAGTGTGCGATGTTTACCCAGATGACAACAATAAACCGCCAGTCGGCCAAGGCCTCAACGTACCTGCCATCATCACGCTCTATAACTGTTTTGCTATTGACAGATCTACCGGAGAGAAAGTAACAGACCCCGGCGAATCGGTGGTTCAGAGGCATCTGATGAGATTAAAACGGATTCCGGACACAGAATTTGTAGATTTTGAGCCAGAAACTGGAACTTGGACTTTTAGAGTGGCCCACTTTAGTCGATATGGGTTGGTGGATGACGATGATGAAGATAATGAAGAATTGCCTGCAGATGGGACGGTGGATGACAAACAAAGCGGAAATCGATCATCCAACAGACCTCGAAAGACTCCATCTACTGCAATGAACCGCAATGTCTTTCCACCGCCGTCGTTCCCAAGCACACCGTCACTGTCAAAGCAAGGCTCACATGAATCCATGCGTAACGGTGCTGCTATTGCTAACCCCATGAACACTGCACAGGACGAAATTATTCGGGGCTCAACGACAGAAGATGAGATTGATTTGACAATGAGTGGGATGGATGACTCCATATTGGATGTTTCACTTCTTAAATTCCCGAATGGGCGAAAGTCCCGTAGACTTGATATTGGTTTTCCGAATGCAAATACTAGTGGTTTCACCTTTGATGACGACATTGATGCTGTTCCTATCAATGATGGCAAAGTAAATGAGGAGTTTCGAGACAGAGATACCGAATCACGACCGAGCAGCGAATTGGAGGTCGCATTGCATAACTCTCCGACAAGTAGTCATTTCAATTTGATGCATCCTCAAAGTGAACAGGTTCACCGACAACCCCTGTC